AAAAAAGTAACGTACACGCATACGCACACGCACAAAGTTGATATTATCATCGGTAAGATCAAAAAATAATTAAATGTAGAAGGAACGTTTTACAAATTCTTTTTCTCTCTATTGTTTATTTTAATAATTAATAATTATAGTATTTCTCCGAAAAATCACTTATGGTTAGACTCTCTTGCGTGCAAATATTATGCATTTCATGTTGATCCTCGAATCATTCTCTTTTTTTTTTATTTGTATTTTTTTTCTTCTCTTGTACAATCCACAAAAAGAGTAAAAGAAGATGAAAATAATATAATAATAATTATAATCATTCCGAACGTTCAATAAAATGTGAATTATTTGTTTTATCGTTTTTTTTTGTATTTTAAAATAAAAAAAAATTTTTTTTTTAATAAATTAACTAAATTAGAAATTAAGTTATTTAAGAAATTAATTAAATTAATTAATAAAAAAAAGAAAAATAACTCGGCGATGGTTAAAATAATTTATTACACCTTTTTTTTTGTTCTCAGTTTTTTGTTTTTTTTTTATTATAAATTTGTATTCTTCGCAAAAAAAGAAAAGAAAGAGACAGGAAAAAAATAATATTACAATTATAATAATTGCAACGCTAGTTGGTACCGTGCGAATATTTCTTTTTCTTTTTTCTTCTTATTTTTTTTTTTTCTTTATTTTCTTCGTAAATAATAATTTGCCGTTCGTTGTAAAAATGAGAGGAAAATCTAAACAATGCAATAATAATAATAATTACTGTGTCACATAATCAATACAAAAATGTTCATAGGAAATAAAATAATTTCATCATCATCCATATTATCAACAACCTTTATGTGCGTCTTTTTTATTATTATTTATTTTTAAATGACCGACAACGTTCTTGAACTTCCGGTTATTCAACGTGTCCGAACTTGCCAACGTAATGCGGATTTCCGTGATAAACACTATAAACGTTGTAAACATAATTCGCGTTATATTAAAACGAACACACTTTTTTATTATTGTTGTTCGTTTATTTTATTCGTGTACACGAATCGTCAATATATTTTTGATACGTGCAATAATTATCTATATTTCAATATTATTATTTCATCATAGTATGCGACGTTATTTAAAATAATTTTTTGTTTTTCTTTTTTACCCGAAATTAAAACACGCAACATATTATTTATTAAAAATATTTTTATATATTATAATATTATATTAATACTATTTATATTATTAACAATTGCTTATAATTTATTAACAACATACGAATTTATAATATGATAAATACATAAATATATATTAAAAATAAAATAACGCTCAAACTTAACGAAATAACATATATATAAATAAAATATAAAAAAATATATAAAAACAGAAAAACATACAAAATCTAAAAACATATATATTTTTTGTGGGCAACTTTATTTAAAAAAAAAAAAAAAGAAGTAAATTATGCAACACGAATATATATATTTGCCTGAATTAAAGTACAAAGTAAAATATAATTTAAACGTACCTCTACTAACTTTTCCTTCTTCTACAATTTAACATCTAATTGTCGCTTATGATAATATCATTTTGCATTTTTTTTTGTGTCCTTGTGCTATAAATGTACCTTTCATTTCATCGTTGGTCTACTTTGTCTAATCGTTGTTTGTTTTACCTGACAAAATACAAATCTATCGTTCTCATTTTTTTTTGTTTCCTACTTTAATTATTAATTATTATTGTATATTTTGTTTTTTAATAATAAAATAATAATTACACGGATATAAACGCGTACATATAAAATGAATGAAAGAAAAAAAAGAATTAATCGTAAACGATAATTAAAAAATTAAATAAATAGAAATAAAAAGAAAAAAATTGATCATTCGTTTCGATCGATCATGATCGTTTATCGCAATGGCAAATAGGATTTATTCTTAGATAAGAACGTGGGAGTTAATAATCACGTGTAAGAACACACGGTAACGGTATTGAGATGTTTTTTGAAGGTGCGGTTCTTGCATTGAATATAACCGGATAAAACGATTTCGTTTCGCTTTAAAGTCCAAACACAAGATACCTGTTACGTTAACGGTTTACCATCCATGGTAAATGCTATGAAATGGAAAAACGCTTCTAAATGGTCTTTACGTTGAATCATTCTAATAATTGACAATGAACGGTTATAACTGTTGTTTGCCAATTCGCGGTCTAATACGAATTATACATTATTATTATTATTGAAAACTAAAGGAAAAAAATTGATTATTTTGCATTATTTCACGGTGATTAATCGAAAATCAAACAATCGTAAACGATTTGTCGATTCTGTGTATATATATGTGTGTGTGTGTGTGTGTGTGTGTTTTGATAAATGAATTTTTTGTATAAATTAATTAATTCTATTCTTTTAACAACACTTTAACTGCTACTTTAATATTACACGTTTAGCTATATTGGCCACGATATTTAAATATAAAATATAAAACAATATAAAAATGGTACCGATCAATAGAGAGGTTATCAATATGGCGAGTGTCCAACGTATTAAATTTGAATTCGTTCATATAAATTAATTTCATACTAGATTTGGTATGAGTATAAAAAAAAATAGAAACAAATATTTGATTTATTTAAATATACAAAATATTTCAATTAATATAACTCGTTGACGCAGCCCTGACACACATGTGTAATAATAATTATGTTTAAAAAAGTATCATAAAACGTTAATAAAGAAAAAATAAATTAAAACTTATTATGTGAATGTGAAATAACCAGAAGTGATTTAGAAAAGGTTAGAAAATTAGATACATCTAATCGCATCCACGCATCCTTCGATAAAAAAGGATGCGATTAGCATAAAACACGTTGTGTTTCGCGTTGATTGGTTGGTTGGTTGGTTGGCGATGGTGGGGGGTGATGCAGCTCCTTATTTTTACTTACTTTAACATTCCTACGCGTGTTACTCTCGTGTGCTAAACGTGCAAGGTCCTCCTCACCTTCTTTATCAAGGATACAAAAATTCCTTTTAAGATTCTTGCGCATACCCATTTATTTAATTAATTAAGATCGTGATTCTCGTTCGTGCAAAATGTAACCTCATATTCGTTAAACGAATTTTATTTATTTCACAATTCAAATAACACATTGACTGTAGCCATTTCAAACATTAACTTTTGTGATTTTCATTCGATTGTTTTATCTCTTTTTGTTTTTTACATTTTTATCGATCTTATCGAATTTTATCTCGTTTGATCGTTAAAAATGACATTCAATCGTGATTTACTTTATTATTTTTTTCTTAACACTGCATCAAGCTATAAAAAATATATATATATATTAAATAAATAAATTTATTTATTTAATAAATTTTATATAAATGTATATTTTTTTTTTCTTAAATGTCCAAAAAAATAATAATAAACCCCATTTAAACTAAATTTATTTCATAATCTGCATTTTAATACAATTCTTTTTTTTTCGTTTTTTTTTTCGTTTTCTTTCTTTTTCTAACAAACATCATCATCACACGTCGTTTCTAGGAAATATATTTTAGTTTTTGCAATCCGCGCTTAACGAACCGTATTTTTTTTTTTTTTTTTAATATGCATTTTGATTTTCGTCAGTCGCCGCCTTATTATTCGTTTAATTTATTATTTTACATAGTTTTAAGAAAAAAAGAAGAAGAATTGAAGGATAATATTTTTTTTACGTAATTTTGAAACAGGAAGAAATATCTTTGAAATCCAAAGCTCTCCATTTTCTTTGGCAATTCTTCTGCGCTATTTATTTATGGGAGTTCCGAATTTACGAAGCATGTCAGTGCTCTCTCACCTAATCAAACTTCGACTACAATTCGTTGTGTAATTGGAAAGCGCGTTTCCTCCTCGTTGCACTATAAATTCATTATATTAATTCTAGTGTAATTAAAAGTCGTCGAACATGTGGAATCCGTCTAACGTAATCTATTATAATATTAATTATATTATACACGTAAATATATATCACGTTAGTCGTTGTTTTACATATTACGATTAAACCGAATTTTATTTTATTTTATATTATTTTTACATATGCAGGATTGTCCCAAACAAAAAGAAATAATTAAATGTTTAAACAAATATTTTTTCGAATTCTCGTTTTGAACATATATTATTTGACCTATTAAATAAAATCAAACATTTTTAATTAAAACAAATAATAAATCAAATATTTTTAATTAAAACGTTATTAATATAATAAGTCAAACAGTTTAAATTAAATTAAGTAATAAATCGATTATTTTCCTTAGATCTCAAACGTTCAAAATGACAAATATTATAATAATCGTATTTTTTTTTCATCATGAGCCAACAACCGGAAAATAATAAGTACATACAAATGGTACACCTTGTATATGTCGCATAATCGGTCATCGTCCGATTTCTTTTTATTTTTTTATTTTTTTTTTCGTTATAATCCTTTCTACTTCTAACAGTATTACTTATAAATCAGTATCGTAAAAACTTCGAGGGATGAGGAGGAGAATGGGGAAACGGGGGCTGCACGTGATCATACAAGACGCGAAACACGTGCACGCATACTAAACATATCTCACGTGTTTACACATACTTACATCTACGCTTACGCACATTTACACATATACACATATTATTAACGAACTACACTTACTTTTTAAAGTAAAATCCTACAACTTGTTCTGGATAAATTCCTTTCTTTAAAAAAAGAAAAAACTGGAAATACGGCAACGAAAAATCTAATTCGAATAATTCGAATAATTGCTACCCGGTCTTACACGGTATTGTACCACTTGACCTTGGATCTAATAAAAATCTCGAGTAAAAGTAAACGAATTTTGAAATAACCGAACTATCTTATATATTATCCTTAACGTTTAATTTTTATTCCTATATGTGTGTATGTGTATTCCTATATTTATCTCACAATTTACGAATCACATTTTTGATTATAATCAAATTTGTTAAAATAATAATTTAGAATTTTTTGAATATAATCGACAGAAAATTTGGCACCGTCCGAATTGAAGAAACTTAGGAATAAACAGAGAAAACAACGTAGGAAGGCAGAATTGGAAAGACAACAGGCTGCACAGGCTCAAGAAAAAAGAGAACAACATAACAAATCACGACAACAAACTGATCCTGATTTAGAACAACCGACATTGGACGAACTTATTCCAGAAAAATTGGAAAGGGTTGGTTATTTATTATTTAATCTTCAAATATTTTATTGAATTTTATTTCTTTCTTTCTAAGTTCAATAAAAAAAATAAAAAAATAATACAACGTGTTTTTGCATTTGTATGTATATATGTATTTATTTATTTATTTATTTATTTATAGGTCGAAGATCCTTTGGAACAAGCGATTAAATTTTTACAACCACTTCAAGATCTTGCAGCAAATAGAATAGAAACGCATCTAATGGCTTTTGAAATCTACATACGTAAAGGTAAATAGAAATGTTCATAGAGTTGGGGTGGGGTATGGTATGGTGTGTTGTAGTTAGGAAAATATAAAAGTTGATTGTTTATTTGAAAACCCTCTGTAATTAAACAACGTAAAATAATGTAACGCTGTAGAGACAATAAATGAAATAATAACAAACAACATGATTATAGAGGGTTTAAATAAAACAACAACAATGATAATGATAATGATTGAAGGAATGTTATAATTAATTGAAAAATAATGTTGATTCCAGGTCGTACACTCTTAATGCTGCGATCAATAAAACGTGCTCATAGGCTGGACTCGAATAATCCAGATCTTCATACGTGTTTGGTACGATTTTTATTGAATACAAATCGTTTATCGTTGGAGGGTGCCGTTGGTGAAGTTGTGAAACGACAAACGGCAGACATATTTTCCGACTCAACTGCAGTACAATTGAATACGGAATATTTAAAGAAGAACAGTACTTCATTACCCCATTTGCTTCAAGGTGCAAGAATGTTATATTTGTTGGACCCATCGGCACAAACACGTGCATTATCACTCGTTACAAATATCGATGAACTTGAAAATGTGACATTGAAGAGTTGCACTAAAGTACTCGAGTCAATGCAAAACGGTGACTTTGGTTATTGCGATAGTACGATATCCGAATTTATAACTAAATGTCGCGAACGTTTTCCTTACGCTACTGCATTTCGATTGCAAGAAACAACAACAACAACTACTACTACTACTATTACTACAACTACCACCAATACTACTGCTGCTGCTACTACTACTACTGCTGCTACTGCTACTACAACTACAACTACTACTACTACTACTACTACTGCTACTACTACTGCTACTACTACTACTGCTAAAGCAACTGCCAATCATCAAGATAAAGAAAATTCTATTAAGAACTGATCCAGGTACTTGCTATCAAGCGTCGTAACTGGTTTGCTACCACGTAGTTAGGCGAGGCAAATCGTTTTTTTTCAAGATGGATTAATAAATAAATCAATAAATAAATTAATAAAATAATAACGAAATGTATCGATCTACGTTTTCTCGAAAATGATCGTTCTAAGAATTTATTCAATTTAGGAATTTAATGAGGATAAATAATTAAAAAAAAAAAAGGGAGAAGAAAGAAAGAAAAAGAAGAGAGAGAGAGAGAGAGAGAGAGAAAACATAGAGAAAAATAAGAAGAAAAAAATGAAGGAATTGGCTTATGGTATAATCGATGATGAAAAAAACAAACAAGTAACAGCGGCCAGCAGCAGCAACAGCAGCAGCAATGTAAACACATATACACACACATACACATATATACACGCGCCTTATAGCTGTGTTGTTCCTAGAAGATCAACTCTACATCTAGTGCATATAATATAACAGTGAATAAAAAAAAATAAAAAGAACAGTGGCTGAATTCATTAGAATGGTGCAGGGGATATAAAGATTTAGAAAAAACAAAAACAAAACAACATAAACAAAAAAATCTTAATTCAATTGTAATACGAGAACTCTGACGACACGTGAGGAGACAGACGACACACCTATATTTTGAAGAATAATTTGACAAAAAGGACTGGAATAGATTAATATTAACAAGAGAAAAGAGAAAATTGAAAGAAGGAAGGAAGGAAAAAAGAAAAAAGGACAACAACAACAAAATAGGAAAGAAAGAAAAGTATTCGAAAAATGCATTGATTAAAAAAAAAACGCTCTTTTATAATTCGTCAAAAAAAGTGAAAAAAATATTGTAACAGTGTGCATTTTGAAATAAATGGATGGGTAGGTGGGGGTTCATGATACCGTGCAGTGTGTAAAATAAGAAGACATGGAAGGACTAACATATTGGTACAAAGAAGAAGAAGAATAAGAAGAATATAGGGAAAAAAAGGAAAGAAAAAGAAAAAAATAAGAACAAACAAAAAAACAAACAAATAAAAAGACTTGTATACATTCATAACGCGCGCGCTTATTAAAAAGAGTGATTTCTACTCGAATGTTTAAAAAAAAAAAACAACTGAAGGTTGGTGGGTGTTGTGTTGTATCATCGTCTAGCAGCATCAGCGATGCCTAAATAAATTACTCTACCGTGTAGAGAGACTCGCAAAAAAAAAAGAACTTAAGACTATAATCGTCGAGCGTCGATTTAACAAAAAAAAAAAACAAGAAAAAATTAAAAAAAAAACAAAAGAAAACAAAAAAACTGTACCATGTACGCGTCCGTACGTCGATATATCTGCAGTTGTGAATGATGATAATGATGGACCTTGGTTCCATATCGTATGAACTAAATAATAATAATAATATTAATAATAATAATAATAATATTAATAATAATAATTATTATAATTATAATGATAATAATAAGAATAATAATGATAATATTAATAATAATAATAATAATTCTGGTTCGCGTTTCGTATCATCTTGTGTGAACTGGTAATTTAAATCCAAGTGAAAAAAAGAAAAGAAAAAATATGCGATTATAGATTTCAAAAAGGTTTTCCTTCCTTAGAAAACACACACACACGAAGCAAAACAATAGTAAAACACGGATGAACGTACTATACACACACAACGCACGCCACACACAACATATACACGCGCGCTAATGTACACACTAAAAGTTTAATTAGTTCGCCGTGTCGTTTCTTTCAGGGCAATCAATCTGCGTTTTGATTGTATTGAACCCTGATTGAATATGATATTCCATCGAGAACAATTTTAATGAATTATTATTAAAATTAAAAAATACCCGTAGTTGTGCGCTCATCTCCACTACGAAAGTCCTCTGTGAAAGTTAATTGTTAAGGATCATTAAAAAAAAAGAAAGAAAGGAGAAAATAAAGAAAAAAAATTAAAAAAAAAAAAAGAAGAAAATAATAAGCAAACAAACACTTGTGCGTATTGTATACGCAAATTACCAAAGTATCTTATCAAATTGAAATCAATAAGTGTCGCGGATAAACGATTTATCATGCATCTGTATGTGTTAAACAGGATTACAGAAGTTTTAATAAAAATATAACAGTGAAGCCTACAGGTATATAGAAATCAGAGAATAAATCATTATGATTACCTCGCTTTCGTCTGAGATATTTAAAATAATAAATAGATACTCATAATTAGTTTAGTATATTCTTTTTTAGAGATTCTTTTTCTTTTTTTTTTTTTTTAAATAAATACACCATCTTTCGATAAATATCATTTAATTATAATTACAATGATATTGATGATAATGATGACGATGAGGATGATGATAGCGATAATAAAGAAGAAGATGAAGATGACGATGAAGATGACGATGCTTATGCTGATCATGATCATGATCATGATAATAATAATAAATAATAATAATAATATTAATAATGATAATAATAATAATCTTTGTACATACTTCCAGCAATACTTTGCCAATATATAATCTATCTCCAGTCTCAGTCTATTTTCCATGATAGTAGGGATATATCATTTTTATTTTTCACAGTCAAGAAATAATAATTCAGTGTACGTGTGTGTTTTATGTTCGCATAATCTCTCCCAAAACAATAAGAAATTTGCGAATGTCTCTTGTATAGTTAGTCACCATCCATAATTATAATCATAATTATAATATACCAATATTTATTCGATTTACAAATCTACTATCCTCTCACAATTTTAAAAAGCTAATAAGTATCGAATATAAAAGATATTAGGAAAATCGATGGAATCTTTGTATTTGAAAAATATTATTATTATCAAATAATATAATCGCAGAATCGCGCGGTTTATACACAATTTTAAAAAATAAAACAAAAGAAAAGAAAGAAAAAGAAAACCAAAACCAAAAAAAAAGAACAAAACAAAACAAAAACAAAAAGCTGTTCATTTTGTATAAATGCATGGTATGTGTTCTCAGGGCTATGCAATTAAATGCTACAAATAAGCATTTTATTCTGTAAGTATCATTCGTTTTCATCGGTAGTCATCTGATCATTATACATATTGTCACGCGGCTTTGTATAACGAATTATACATTAAATATTTCTATACGGTGTAGAGAGAATTCTTGTTCTCTAAATTTTAAAAAATACACGCGTCCCGTGTTGGGTTGTTTATCATCTTTATTCGCAAATTCTTTTCAACGATTACGTTGATCAACTTTATCTATGAATTACTTATTGCGTTAATTATTTTATTGTTCATTTTGATAAATATATTTTTTTTGTTTCTTCTTCTTTCCTATAATATAACACAACTTCTACACGACTGTTCCAATCTCTTCTCTCTCTCTTTATAAGATTTTTATATATTAATTGCTCCAATCTTTATTGAAGTTTGTTACCTCACGTCAAAAAAAAATAAAAAACAGAAGAACTTTCTATGACACTTGCTCGAAAATAATTTAGAAGAAAAAGAAAATAATAAATAATATACTGAATATAAGTATCAGACATATTTTTCAAATGTTAAAATCCAAATTTGCCTTTTAGTCCTTCTTGCCTCAATCTTAATTTAAACAAAAGATATAGTTGTAAATATTTTACCTATATCCTATAATAAGTTATAATGTTTCCAATGTTTATGGGAGGGGGGGAAAAAGAAAGAAAATGACATACGCTCTTCTCATATTACTATATCACTCGGTACAGTTAATAATTCATACAGAACAAAATATACTTTTCGTAATACATACTTTTTCTCGTTAGATTTTCGACAAAGAACAATTACAAAATCGCGATAAAAAACTACACATTTAAAAAACTTTCACGTGTATAGTATGTACATAAGCATATTCATATATATATATATATAAATCTTTGGATTTATAGTCATTCTATTTGTTATAACGGTACAGACACGTTAAACATGTAATTTCAATTGTCCCTTATTTTAACTGTTTGAAAGAAGTTGTATACTACATGTTTCTTATCATGCCATACCACATTTTCTCTCGCCCACATTTACATTTGTACAGCAGGTAATTCATATATATTAAAGAAAGAAAAACAAAAAGAAGAAGAAGAAGCTACTATGTTATATATACTTAATAATATTATACATGTATTATTACAAAACTCACTTCACTTTCTGTACATTAGTTTATTTATTTCTTACTAAATAATCCACAACCGATACAAAGTGGAAAATAAAAGTAACTATATGTGTAAAGAATTAAAAAAAAAAGAAAAAAACTTGTGGTATTCTCTATCTGCGTTTGTACCTATATTCTTCATTAAATTTTATATGTAAATATTGACTGACTTTTTTCAGAGAATACCTATTTGTGCAGCAATCTAAGTCACACATTTACGACTTTAATGATGACTTTTTATTTAAATAAGATTTGACCTATACCATGTCAAGAAGAAAATAAATAATAAATAAACAAATATATACATAATCTATATTATGAAAATATTGCTTTATTCAACTTTTTATTAAAGTTTCATTTTTGTTTAATATTTCTATTCACGAACTTATATCTGCATATCTGTAAAATTCTATTGTTATTTTTCAACGATAAAGTCATCAAATTGTAGTCATTGTTGTTACGATTGGTTATATCTCAATTAGTCTCATTGTCGACAGACTCAGAAATGTTTAAATTTGATACAGAATTGTTTAAACTTGATCCGTAATTAAAATCATCGAAATCAATCACAATTTTCGTTTTGCGTGGTGTAAATGATCTATAAAAAAAAAAATAAAGTAGATCTAGTATTCTTGTTGCTCGTTAATACCGCATATAAAAATAATGAAAAATAATTATAAAAAAAAACATACTCATATACAACTTTAGCAGCGTCAAGCATTATCTTAGACGCTTTGGTATCAATTTTGTTTTTGTTTTTATCAGATATATAATAAATCTTCTTTATTCCAGACTGAATAATTACTTTAGCGCACTCATTGCAGGGAAAAAGGCTTACATACATCTTACAACCCTTCAATTTACTCAAATTCCTATTTAAAATAGCATTTATTTCTGCATGGCATACTATAAAGATAAATTATTATCATTAAAAATGATAATTAATCTTGAGATAATATAACAATCATTAGACATCCTTACCGTATAGTTTTTTATTGTTCAACTCATCATTGGAATTCTTTTCCCAAGGGAATACATCATCACTGCAATTTCTGGGCATGCCGTTGTATCCAACACCCACTATTACATTATTTTCATCTACTATACACGCTCCTACACGAGTAACTGGATCTTTACTACGCTTAGCAGATAATAATGCTACTCCCATAAAATAGTCATCCCAACTTATACTCGCTCTCCTTTTGGAATCTGTAGGATTGCTGCATATACATCAATTTATAAATAAATAATCACTCATATGTGTTTGTTTTTCTTCCTTTTACAAGTTTGGAAGAACATGACAACAATTTCACATAGCCATTACACATCTCCTTAAAATCAACAGTACACCGTGTTCCAAAATGATCACACATCCAAGTACTAACTGTACCCATTGTTGTTTGACTTTAGTAATCTAACAGGAACTAGTTTTTTTAACGAGGCAAGACCGTTGATAAATTATTATTTATATATAATCTTATTAGATAAATATTTTGTTTTAATAATTTAGCAATGAAAAAAATAAATTAAAATATATACAATCATTTACCATTGGACTGACTGTTCAGTAGAAGGCTCCACGTTGTTCATATTGAATAAATGTTGACTACTATATTGCACACACGTTCAATAAGACTTACAGGAAATATTAATTGAAATAAATTCATTAAAATACCATCGATATTTTACATTGATGCTTATTCAAGGTAATTATTATCTATTACACTTATCTATTTTATTATCTTTCCATTGATAACGATGCAATTGAAAGTGCACGTGAACGAGACGAAAATGTCACAGAACCATCTTATTCAAATTAAGAAAAAAAAAATGGTGGAAGATAAAAATTTGAAATGTAAATTAGAACTCTGGCGTAAATGTATTTTCGTTTCCATTTTTATCGATGATCTCTTAAATTTTGGGAAATAAATACTTTAATTACATATCGAATGCGCACGAAGAAAGTTTGTCGGAAAACAAAAACATAACAATTGTTAATTAATAATTTCATTCTAACGAAATAATTTTGAAGCACTAACGTATCTTTTTCTTTTTAATCATTTTTGTATTATTTATTTTCCAAAGATTAACACATAAAATTGTGTGTTTTTTTTTTTTATTATTATTATTTTCCACGTGGTCTTTTCCGATCAATATCAATCGATTATTAATTTAGATACGTATTGAAATTTAAAAAAAAAAAAACAAGAAAAAAATATATATTATAACAGCGAACTCAGTGCCATCTGTCAACGAAGTCGTGAATTAATTACTACTCCCATGAGTTATATACGTTTCGTCAAATCTTATTGACTTTCGCAAAGTGTCGTTTCTTGTTCATCGTGTCTCTCATAGTAAAGAGACATTCAAAAATATCCGACGTTCATTCATACATGTCCATGTAAACCGTGAATTAATAAAAATAGCTGTAAAAATTATACGATAAAAAAAATTTATAAAAATGGGGTTAAATATTCTCAAGTCGCGAATATTAAATCTTCGTCATTTGAAAAAAGATTTTTCAGTAATTCTTACATTAAGACTGCCTTTAAGTACATCACGAATTTGCAACAATAGCAAGGTACATCAAGATTATCATTTTCAATGAAATTTTAATGCTAGAATTGTGATTTTGTTAATTAAAATATAATAATAAACAAAAAAATAGATTTATCTAATATCTTTCGTATTTTTTTTTGTCATCTGTCGCAACAAATGAGATGCTGCTTTTATGTAATCAAATCAGGTGCCAACTTTAGATAAAAATTTATTGTTCACATGTGCCTAAAAGATACTTTATAATTTGATGATTTATGAATTAAAAACAATTATATTATGTTAATTAATATTTAACAGAGATGTCTCTGTCACTGAATGATCAAAAAAAAAAGAAAATAAGCTTTGAAACAAACGTCAACCATATCTTTTTTTCTTTCATTTTACGTTTATTCTGTCATTATGTAAAGTTCAACATTTAAAAACATATGATATCTATACGATATATCTTATTAAACGTAAACTGTTAATTAATCTTATGTCAATAATTGAAAATTAAAATTATAAAATCAAATTATTTGTTTAGATAAGTGAATTTGAATGTGTATGTATGTGTGTCTACATGTTTTTATACCAATACTTCTTTCCAATCGTCTACTATGATAAATGAGATCACTTATAAGATTTCACATTCCAATGACCTTCAATCCACATACTTCCATTTTATGATAGAGACAAACTTTTCTTATTAGCATTAATATGACAACTAACTCCTTAGAAATGGTAAAATTATTTTTATTAATAACTCTATTATATTCTTTTTTCTTTCTTTTTCTCATTTTTTTTATTACTGTTATAGGATTTAGAAGGCCAAGAATATAGAATTGAAAGAGATACGTTCGGGGAATTAAAAGTGCCTACAAATAAGTATTATGGAGCTCAGACTGTTAGATCGATGATAAACTTTCCTATTGGAGATACATTTGAACGCATGCCTGTAAGAAAAACTGGTACTTTAAAATTCATTTAGATTTTCGTTATGATATACATTTATTTTATTATTTTATTTAACCTTTTGAGTATACTGAATGCTTATATGCGTTTGTCGATACCAATGCAAAGAATGAAATGTCAATTTGTGAGTTGCTAATAATTGTTTTGAGTCTTCGATCAATTAATGGAACTTATACTAAAGCAATAAAGCATTATGTTCCTATGAAATGTTTTAAAAATATTCATCGCTCACAACGTTAATCTTCTTACGATATCTTTGTCAACATTTATTGAATTTTGTAGTACGGCGTTATTGTAGCCATGGGAATATTAAAGAAAGCTGCTGCCGAAGTAAATAAAGAATTTGGATTAGATCCAAAAATTGCTGACGCTATTAGCAAAGCTGCGGACGATGTTATAAGCGGTAAACTTTATAACGATCATTTTCCATTAGTAATATGGCAAACGGGATCTGGTACGCAAACGAATATGAACGTTAATGAGGTTTGATTTTTTACTTAATATACTTGAGTGTTTTCATTTTGAATGATATTGTATGATCTATGCGTTCTTTTAAAATATCTTAATTAGGTAATTTCAAACCGTGCTATTGAAATACTTGGTGGAAAACTTGGATCGAAAACGCCGGTTCATCCCAATGATCATGTAAATAAATCACAAAGTAGCAACGATACATTTCCAACTGCAATGCACATAGCAGTAGCCTTAGAAATTAATAAAGTACTTCTGCCAGGTTTGAACTGTTTGTTAGAAGCGTTAAGAAAAAAAGCGGAGGATTGGAAGGATATAATTAAAATTGGAAGAACTCATACTCAAGATGCTGTACCTCTTACATTAGGACAAGAATTTTCAGGTTTCAAATTTGATTAAATAAAATAATATAAATAAAATTGAATAGCTGCTTTTCTTTTACTAATATATAACATTTGCAATTTTAGGCTACGCAACACAAATTCAAAATGGAATTTGTAGAGTAAAAGATACCCTTCCTCGTCTATACGAATTAGCGTTAGGTGGTACAGCTGTTGGAACAGGATTGAATACTCGTAAAGGATTTGCTGAAAAAGGAGCTGCAAAAATAGCTCAATTAACAGGTTTACCATTTGTTACTGCACCAAATAAATTCGAAGCTCTTGCCACGCACGATGCTTTGGTCGAAGTACATGGCGCATTAAATACTGTTGCTGTGTCCATGATGAAGGTATATATATTTATTACTTTGAATTAAATTATAAAATATACACACGATTCTCATATAAATTTACTTTTATGCGTTTATCAATAGATAGCTAATGATATTAGATTCTTGGGAAGTGGTCCACGATGTGGTTTAGGAGAATTATCCTTGCCAGAAAATGAACCGGGAAGTTCAATTATGCCAGGAAAAGTAAATCCTACTCAATGCGAATCAGTTACTATGGTTTGTTGTCAAGTAATGGGAAATCATGTCGCGACCACTATTGGCGGAAGCAATGGTCATTTTGAGCTTAATGTATTTAAGCCGGTCATAGTAGCCAATACGTTACGATCTGCAAGATTGTTAGGAGACGTTGCTCAATCGTTTACAAAGAATTGCATTGTTGGTATCAAACCTAACGTCGATCGTATACAGAAAATATTAAATGAAAGTTTAATGTTGGTTACTGCACTTAATCCACACATTGGATATGATAAGGTACATTTATTTTGTATTGATAATGAATGTACGTTTGTTTCATGATATATAAATTTGACAAGAAATATTTTTGTTTTTAGGCTGCTGCTATTGCCAAACAGGCTCACAAGGAAGGACTTACTTTAAAAGAATCTGCATTGAAAAATGGATTAACATCCGAACAATTTGATTCGTGGGTCAAACCCGAAGATATGCTTGGACCCAAATAAATTGATGAAAGATAGCATAAAAATTTGTTAAGCAAGAAGTACATTTTTGTACGTGCATTTTGTCATTGAGAATCTTCCCTTTATACAAAAGAATTACACTAAAGTGAATGTTTTCAAACATTATTCAAATATCAATTATACTAATAAAGTATCATCAATCAAGGTTTTTTTTATTTCTACATGTTACCATGTATAAGGAAGAGTATCGGGCAAATTAATAATGTATTTGGGAAAATAAAATAAATATTTATTTATTGTTAGCTTAATATTATTTTGGATAAATGTTAACATAAATTTATGTGTTATTAAGATGTTCATTTATTTTATTAAATAATATTAACTAATTATTAATAATATAATCCGAAAAAATAAATCGGATTTCAAACAAAGTCTTATGTTATCGTCGACATGATTATCATATTAAAAATATGTTGTAATGCATATTATCAAAGTTATGGGTCAGAGTGGAATAACCTTTACAATTTTAAAGTATTTTCATCTAAACTTATTCAATTATGTATTATAGATAAAGTATCCAAACGAAATGTTTCGGACGATTCTAAGAACGTTTAGTACGCGTAAATATAATAAAGTTGGTTTAATAGGTGTACCTTTTGAAAAAGGACAGGTAAATTTAATTTATCAATAATAATTATAAATGTTTAATTTTTCATGTCTTTTTATTTTTAAAATGTTGTAGCAAAAGAAAGGTGTTGCACTTGGTCCTAAAGTAATTAGAGATGCTGGTCTTATAAAAGAATTAGAAGTATTAGGTAATTCATTTTCATTGTAAATAATTATTTATAATTATTAATTTAATCAAGAAGTTATATATTTCAAATAGGTTTAGATGTTAAAGATTATGGGGATATTGTATATAAAACGGTAGGTACAGGCGATGTAAATAATATGACACATTTGAAAGACGTAGCAGCATGTACTAAACTTTTATCTGAACAAATTCAAAAAATATTAATTGATGATCGATGCGTTTTAACGCTTGGAGGAGATCACAGCGTAAGCGTTGGAACTATAGATGGCCATGTTCAAGTATGCTATTCTATTAAACAGTTTATTTTGAATAAATAATATGCAATAGATATTAAATTCACTTTCCACGTAAGGTAATGGAAGATGTTGCAGTACTTTGGATCGATGCTCATGCTGATTTAAATACTAATAAAACTAGCGAGAGCGGAAATGTTCATGGAATGCCTGTAGCATTATTAACGACTGAACTTTCTGATTATTGGCCGCATTTACCTGGAATGGATTGGCAGAAACCAATGTTGGTTTTATATATTATTTCTTTAATAAATTTAATTTATGTTCTATTCTGTAAGAGAATATGTAGAAGATATATATATATATATATTTACAGGCTATCAATTAGAAACGTGGCTTACATTGGATTAAGATCCGTAGATCGTTACGAGAGATTAGTTATTGAAAAATTTGGTATTCCTGCTTTTGGGATGGAAGATGTTGAAAGATTTGGTAATTTTTATTTTCTAAATTATGCACCTTAATTTTGACTTTTCTCATAAACTAGCTATTTCAGGGATTCATAATACAATTTCTATGGCATTAGATAAAATTGATCCCAATGGAGTAAAATCATTGCATGTTAGTTTTGACATTGATTCTCTAGATCCCTTGGAAGCTCCAAGTACAGGAACTGCAGGTATACACAATTTAAAATTATAATAATTTATTTTACAGATTATACTGTATATATATATTTTGTTTATAGTACGAGGTGGATTATCTCTTCGAGAGGCAATTCATATAATGGAAGAAGTACATAGAACACGTAGATTAAATGCTATAGATTTAGTAGAAGTAAATCCTCATATCGGTGATCAGCGAGATGTTAAATTAACTGTAGAGGCTGCAATATATATTATACAAGCTGCTTTAGGATATACTAGACGTGGTTTGAAAGTTCCTAAAGGTGTTACCGATATGCCATTGCAAACATTTAAATAATATGATAAATTAATACTTTAATAAAAACATATTTGTCTCAATTTATGTAAATAAATTATTAATTTCATATGAATACATAATTCATACACATAATATATTACAAATCTTTAACTACAATTTATCAATAATAGTTGAGCTATCGTCTTTCATCACAAACACTTTATCAGGCATTTCTCTAATCTTTAATTCTATTTTGTAAATATCAGCTTTCAATTTTTTCTCCGAGTCTTCGGTTATAAGAGCTTCAACACGCAATTCTCCAAAGTTTTTAGATCCCACGATAGGAATTGTAAGCCAAGTTGTATTGTCAGTAGATCCATTCTTTTCCGGATCGCTTATATTAATTCTTTTTTCTTTTATAGGAGTTCCTAATAAATCTAGAGCCTTTTGATGATTGTTCAAATGTTCCATCGCATCCTTGTAAAGTTTACCTTCGCGAAGTTCATTCTGTATTTTATAACGAAATGCATATCCTGCTCCAGCTACTGCAAAACCAGTAAAACTAGCAATTTTTACTAATGCTTCGAGCGAGATCATCTGTATCAAATGAATAGCTCATGTTAAATACGATGTCATTAAAATACTTTACATTTTGATAAAAGATATATCACTAACCTAAACTATATTTGTAGGAAATAATTGTAATATAGAAAATATCCAACGCTACCTTCTTCACAATGTTACTTTAAAATTTTAAGGTTATGTCGCACATTTACTATCAGTACTCCTCATAGTTTAGTTATTTATAAAAATTTTATTATATTATCACGATAGTATAAAAATTAAAATAATATACAACAAATTATGTATTTTAAATGTGTAAAATATTTATATATCGCGATTGTTGATAAATTATTTTTATTACATCACCGCTGTAGCAAAGAGGGTTAGGAATATATACCTATATATATACCACGTGTTTGATATGAGAGAAGTACTACTCAAATGTAGTACACATGTATATGTATGAGATTAAAAATATTATAGGAATAAAGATTTTATACATCAAATTCAACCTTTTGCAAATTAAGTTCATTCTTTTATTATTAAGAAATTCAAAATTACTTATCTTATGAAAATTGTGTATAGATACATACTTGATAACATGCATACGCAACCAAATTAATATAATGGTTATTATTTAAAAAAAAAATAACTAACTGAATTTTAGATTAAAACTTAAGAAAAAAGATAAAACAATTTGATAGAAAAAATTTTTATTTTATTTGCATAAAGTTGAATTTTGGAGTAAAAACCTGTATAATTAGAAAATGTTAAAAAATAAGTATATTCATCAAAATCTCATTAGGATTTTTTTTATTTATTTGCACTTAACAATATTAATGCATAAATTATTTCTAAATACAGTGATATTACAATACTCTTCCTTTGATGAAACATTTCATTCATAATTTGGAAGAAACATCAAAGTAATATTACCACAAATCTTGTTTTCTTTTTTTTTCTTCATTCGTTAATAATGGCAAGAACGAATCAACGATGTTTTTATTTTTTTATTTTTTTTCAGTGCGTGGGGAGCAAACTAAAGAAAAGAATGAACAAAAATAAATATAGCTCTATTATCGGTATATATTGCATAATTCTCTTTTTCATTTATTTTTCTGTATTTTATTTAATTTTATTTCTGCCCGTAACATTACCTAATCGATCGATGGATGATTATTTCAAAACATACCGACGTTACAACAATTTACATACTAAGCTTAAACCTTTTAGTGCCGAACGACGATACATCATTTTCGATAAACCTTAGCAAATTCGTTAAATTGCTTCGATATTTTTCACATAGGTACTTATATTTTTAATTCGACACTAAAAGGATTAAGAAACGTATGTGCAATTTTGAGTAGAAACTAATCCTACAAAGTTAGCATTTTTTCTTTTTTTTTTTGCTTGCATTTGTCCAACCAGAGTATTATTATAGTAATTTTAAATTATTTTCCACATGTGTGTTTGAATATTTTCAATTACTGTCATAAATTTCGATTCGAATATTAATAATATCGTCTCGTTTCTTATATATATACAAAAGATTACAAAAACTGAACGAATACAAATCTCCTGATGTCATTCATATATATATATTTTTTTTTCTTGAAAAAATGAAAGATCCTAAGTTTCAGTCCCAGTCTAGACAACCAAGTCCCAAGTTACTATAATTTCATTTTGTGACTGGTGTTATTATTAATCGATATGAATCACTTGACTTCAATATATATATATATATATATTTTTTGAATTATGTGTAAATATGCAATCACAGTAGTTCCATAAAACATGTACACGTGTGATAAATCTTATGAGAAACAATATACAGATTAAATATACAGATTAATTATATTTATCAATATAAATATACATATAAATATATATATTATATATATAATTATATGTATATAAATTAAGACTAGATGAGAATATCAGGTTACCACTTCTAATCCTACAGCCAATACACATTGAGTGTAATATTTAAAATACAACTCAGAAGCAAGAATGGTTGTTTCAAAATATAACAACGCACGCGGCACGACGATGGTATGCAGAGCATTGGCAAGAAGAAGAGAGCGCAATCATTGTTTTGGATTTTTGAGTATCTTCGAAGGAAATTGACTGTACACTCACTAAGTAGGACAAAGAACTAAAAAAAGAGATAAAATTTATGTTAAATTTTTCTTACAAGTAATCGTTATCTATTTCTTAGAAAGAGAGATAATAATTTTCTTCCCAGTTATTCACCTTTGAGAATATAATCCGTTAGCAAAGTTGGTACAGTTGGACTATCTTCGCTAATCGCTTTCAATACTGCAAATAAAATATTTTATTAGAATTAATAATCTTTAACATATTATTTAATAGAAATATAAATAGAAAAATAGATTCATAATTATACATTTTTTATCTTTATTTATAATTAATATATGCTTATATTCATATATTTCGATAAAAATAGTTTGTAATAACTTTTATATTAGGTCATTCTATACATATATATAAATATATAGAAAGATAAGTATATATATGTAAAGATAAATAGATATTCAGTCTATATATATACATAAAGATAAGTAGATATCTCTTGTATATACAAAGTAGTGCAAATTGTAAAACTGCAAGCCTAAAAATTTTTTCTAAAAAAAAAAAAAATAACTGATTTTTAATATCACTTAACCCTTTCGTTAGGGTATGTTGTAGAGGAAGTATCGTTTCATGAAAAATTCGTTTGTAGATATGTATTGTACAACTCCTATTTGAGTCAGTGGGGTTTTTACACGTATACGACCCATATACGAAAAAGTTAAATAATATTTTATAAATAGATAAAACAAAAGTATGTAAAATTACTTTTAATAAGGACTTGCAAAGCCTGATTATCCGGTGGTCCGCTGTCCGTGTTATATGGAATGACTGTGGTTAAATATTTGGATTCTTGCAAGGACCTATGTTGCGGTAACGGACTAGTACCATTCTGCATTTGGTTTTTCTTCTTTGTAACGTGATGTTGCCTACGTCGATTTTGTACTGCTAATAAAAGAGAAATGAATTGATTTTTCAATTCCTTTTCGTATTCCAATTCATCCCGAAGTGCAAGTTCAGCTATCAGAGTTTCGCTCAATGCTGCTACGAGAGATTCCATTTCTCCTAATAACTCGGTTAGTTGATTCGAGGTGAATTGTTTCAATTCTGAAATATTTTACATTTGTAATATTTTATAATAATATATTGTATAAAAAAAATAATTCAAAGATAATATAGTCAAGTCATATGTTCCATATATACTTGATTGTTGTCTTTTTTTCTTTATATATATAGCATACTATTTATTTATTTAAAAATAAATAGCATACTTTTTTCGTGCAAAGGCGAGCCGAGAACTTCTCTACTCCTTTCCAAAGCCTCGTCACTGTCAAGTAAGGATCCATCTGAATCTGGTGTTCTTTCCATAGACGGACTTTCCTAAAATATTAAATAATAAGTAAAAATCGTTAAATAGTTATATATCTAGCTAATTGGACAAAATAACGTTAATGGATTTTTCAAGGTAATCTTTTAGTGTATATATATATACCTGCATTATGTCATCTATTTCACGAAGCACTTCTTCGGCTGTCTTCAAGGGTTCCTCTGGGCTATGAGTATCGGTACTGCTAGATAAAATCAAAGCATGCATATCCAAATCCGTTGCTACAGCCTCGTCTTCGCTACTTAAATCTTCTAATTCGGGTCTGAAGATTTAAAAAAAAAAAAAAAACACAAATTAGTAAGGTAAATGAATCAATAAATCATATATAGATATCTTGTACCTTTCTTTGTCTTTTTTTTTCTTTTCTATTTATTAATTTGTCTTTTTACCTTTCCAATGAAATTGGTGCCTCGTTAAGATTCAAAGCTGGCATGTGCATTTTTCTAGCATAAGATTTGCTCCAGTCAATGGGTAAGATGTTACCAAAAGTACCAGTGATAGTCCACCACATCCTATAGAAAAGATAAATATTATTATCATTATCATAAGTTGTCGTGAGAGATACACTTTGCGATAAAAGATATGTCTTCTACTCCAATTACGCGTACCATCATCATCACATTAGCTGACTCATATCCTCCTTTTCGCGATATCACTATATATCACGAATAACTCACTATTAGTATGAATTTCTACGAGCATTCGTAATTAAACACGTCTCGTCATTTCCAATAATAATATCACGTAGCCCAAAAGGTACACAACTTTTATAGAGGTATCTATTAAAATTCCCAAGCAAAAGAAAAAAATTAAACAAAAACGAAAGAGAAATAGAACAAGTAAAAACAAAAATAAATAATAATAAATAATGAAAGGTTAATTAATTATCAAAATGTTATTATTATAAAGGTAATTGAAAATTAAACATTTAATATTATTAATCAAATGCATAATTAAAATTGTATTAACAATAAGAACGATTAAAGATAAATGATGATGATGATAAATTTATACAGACAAAATTCAAATATAATAATTAATCAATTATTACAATAAATAATAAATGTAGGAATTTATTTTCGTACATATATATATATATAAAGAAAGTTAAAGGAAGGAAATCTCGATTTCAAAGGAAGAACGGAAACATCGTATGAGATTTTCCCATGTTGCATGTAAGAGGAAATTGCAAATACTCTAAAGATAAATCTCGCATTTCAAATTGGTTTTTCTAAACGGCTTGGGATAGATCTAGATGTTAGTTGGTAACAGCGGAAGTTATGATGAATATTTTTTACAGAGATAGAGATGGATATAGAAAAAGAAAAAGAGAAATAAAAAGAGAACCAGAAATAAAGAGAGAAAGAGAGAAAGAGAATGAAAGAGAAAACAAAGAAACAGAAGCTGCTTCGCTCAATAATGTCGTATTCGTTTAACCCTTTGACTAATCGAGGTCAATTCGACCTACTCATGTGTGCCTTTTTACTTCAACAAGAAAGAAAGAAAGAAAGGAAGACAAAGAGATAAATAAGTAGATCAAATTATTCTTTATTTCTTTCTTTTTAAAAAAGAATTGTAAAAAAGAAAAACGAATATAATAACAAATAATTTTAATGCATTCGTATGAATTTATATATATATTTATAAAAATAATAATGATAATAGTAATAATATAAGAAGGTTAGAAAAAAGAGGATAAAATAGAAAGTTAAATATATACGAATAATTCCATGTATAATTTCGTTTTAAAAGAAATATAAATGAAAAATTTCAAAATTAAATTTCCATAGAAAGGGTTTATTATTATACTGTTTCTATATAA